AGAAAAATTCTTTCTTCAAGATTTATGTCTATGAATCTACCGTAAAGAAATAAAAGGATATCTTTTACTCATATGGATAATAAGATTTGATAAAGAAAAGTGATTCAGATTAAATGGAGTTGAGCTTACACAAATTCTTTAATTTAACATGCAATAAGAAAAAAGCATGAGCACCTTTATGGAGAATTTATTACTTATACTAATGACAATTCTGAAATATTCACAAACTCATGATAATTTAAGGGAACTGAAAGTCGCATTGTAAATAAAGTAATTTTGCTAAGCAGTTATGACTTGCTAGTTTTAAAGTTATGACATTGTCATCCGAAGTTTGCTTCGAATTTGAACTACTTAAGTTGTAACTGTCATGACTAGGATAAAATAAAATAAGGTGTGGTGAGCAAGTTCAATACTTTTTCTTTTTCATGATTAATTTATTTAAATTTTATTTTTAACTGTCCAACTTTGAGTATATCGTAACAACAAATAGTGTTTTCTACATAACTTTTGTCTTCTACATAACTTCTATACAAATGTTCCTTACGCTGTACCTAACTAAGTCCTTTATCAATTATCTTATGTTGGTAATCATTTTTTTATGTGAGAAACAGTGTTCACTTGATATTAAGTGATAACTGCCACCCATCGACATTTGCAACACCCATAGGTTTGCAGATGCGTTGCCACCTTTAAACGAAATGGGCCCGGTTACCTCACTCACCGGAAGAAGTTTAACGTTTTAATTTTTTTTTAAGTTTAACACTTCACGTCAGGCTTCTGCGGCGTCGTGGTACTTCCTCAATGGGCCTGCCGTTTCTTGCAACAGTGAAGACTGTTGCGTGGCTACCACAGTAATAAAATATAATTGTAATCTTCCACATAAAATAGATAACTAACAAATTTCAGTCTGCCTGCAAATATAAAGGTAACGCTAAGTACTATTTCAAAAACAGTAGAAGTTGATTGGTGAGTTCTGTAGCAATCTATTTATTGTAAATAAATTTTTGAAGCAAGATAAACACTTTGTGCATAATTTTAGTCACGTGTAAAGTACAAACCTCCTAGTATAAACTAATCTTATATATAAAATTCTCGTGTCACAATTTTAGTGACCTTATTCCTCCGAAACGGCTTTACTGATTTTTACCAAATTTTATATGCATATTCAGTAGGTCTGAGAATCAGCTAATATCTATTTTTCATACACCTAAGTGATAAGGGTTGTTCACCTTTGACATTTTTTTTTAATTTTTGGACAAAATTTTTTGTTTTTATTTTTTTATCATACAGCATACAAAAATACATACAACCCTAAATTGTCACCCCTCTACGCTGGCGTAGTCGCGGGCAGCAGCTAGTACTATATATAAAACCTAATATGTGTGTGGTCGTGATGGTACTTAAAAACGTACAAGTACATGATGATACTCCTCTATGCTACTAAGTCATAGTGTATTAGGTTGAACCTCACTTTCAACTACAGGCATCATATATTTTTGAAAATCCGTATACTTTTTATAAATATTTTTATTAAAAATATTCATCTAACAACGTGATAAAAAAATCCGCTTAAAACTGCAATGACTAATTTCAATAAATTTGAACTCAGATTTTTTGCGTCTTCTAAAGTTATAGTCGGCTATCATGAATTTCAGTTTATATATATTTTAAAAAATATAATCATAATATTTTAATATTAATTGAGGTAAAAATTGGCTAAGTTAACAAATACTTTTATCACAAACTTCTCTTTACGTTGAAGCAACTTGAAAAATAAAAGAATAACAAGTTAAAGTGGACTCAAGATGAAGTTTCTTTGGGTTTTGATATGATTGGTTTTGTTCTCTACTCTGGCCTGTAACGAAAATAACACACCATATCTTGTGTTTCGCCTTATTTGACGCAAATAGAAGTACAACATCAGTCAAAGTGGATTTGTAGATACCTCGATCTCCACTTAAATAAAAATAAAATAAAAATAAAATAATTGAGAAAAAATAAAATTTATTGAACAGTATTGTCTGTTTTTGATTAAAGCTGTAAATGTTGTTAGATAGAGTATTTTTTGTTTTGAAATTCTAATTTACAACATATATTAAGCCTGTGAAGACACTAACACCATAAACGTGACATATATTTTTGTAACTTAGTTTTTGTTTCAAGGTTTTATTTTTTACTTATTAAAACTTGTAACTATGTATTTACATCATAATATCATCATAATATTACATCAACATGATTTTTATATCATTTTCCCACACAAAATTGACATGATGTTAAATAAATAATTGAGTGTAAAACAACAGATTTTTTTGCGATGTTTGAAAAGTTCTTTAGATTATAAAACTAACACCTATTAAAAAAAAGTTTAACTTTGTGCTTGCGGTTACACTCATTATAAGACGGGACTCGGGATACTTAGGTCATTTTATCAAATATTGTTTTGTGATAAGACCACACAGCAGCTTCTGTTGTTGCACGTATTGGCACGTTTGAAACGTTTTATTTTACATAACAAGATAATAATAACCTAGAGTACGATTTTATTATTTTTAATAAAAATAATTAAAACTAAGGTATTGGCACAAATGAACAAGACTATTGTTTTAAAAATTAAGTACTTTATTTATTTACAGACACTGATTTTGAAAGGTGTATTACATGTCTTAGCATGTATACAGAAGGATTGTGCGATTCTCAGTTTCTGACAGTCTTTTATTGTATAGAAATACACAATTTTAATGTAGTACATATGTCATCAATACTTTTCTTATATAAATATTAGCCTTGGAAAATAAAGGTAATACTAGTACAATAAATATGTTATTTAAAAATGTTTACAGATAAAGTACCATTACGTACTGCGAATCCATTCTTATAATTTTAATAAACTATTACAAAATAATGATTTTTTGTACTTATGCAAAAACAAAACACGGTTATGTTTTTTATGTTCGTCTATTTTATATCCGAGTAATCTATAAATCCAAGTTGACTCAAAGTTAAATGACGAAAAACAGTTTTAATATTTATATTACAAAATATACAAAAATTTGTAGTTCCTAGTAAATTTTGTAGACCTATTTTACTGTTAACAGAAAGGGGTGTTCCATTTTCATAGTTGTTGTGGGAAAACATTATTTCGTGAGTCGACATCGTTTCGACAATTCAATTACATGCTTTATTTAAAAATATTTTATCGATTATAGCCACTTTAAAATGCTCTACACTTCTGTATTTAGCTTACCGCGTGTTTCATTTACATTCGAAAAACAAAACATAATCGCACTAGAGCCATGTATTTTAATGTTTAATATCACTAAGATATTAAATATTAATTTTAGTGATCAATAAATTCAACTATATAGTGATTATAATTAGTGATCAATATTAGCATTCTTAATAATTTCTAATGACAAAAACTGCTGCGATGTCTTGACTATTATATTGTCTTTTATTGACTTCTACTGGAGTGCTCGGTGTATTTTTAAAAGAAACTTTTATTGGCCGTAGTACTTTTCTGTAACAGCAGGATGGTACAAATCTCAATTTGTACTCTTATGATAAACATGTTGTATATTTTAATATATTTACGACTGAAATTATGTTTCATAGAAACAAACAATTACTGTCATTGTCTAGTGGCCATAATATCTATCAACCTGACATAATTCTTACGAAAATGTCAAACATGTCTCTTTTTAAATCTAAGATTTTAAGAGACTAAATTTATAAACATATCGTTAGTGAAATCTATCTATGGATTCATTCCAATGTTTCCTAGAGAGGACAAATTATAGCCAGATTCCTATACCAAAATGAAACACCTCTTATTTTATGTATGCAAAATATACAAATCTAGTAATAAATCAAAATCTAGTACAAAATTTCATGTCAGACATTTATTGCAATTTAGTTTTTTCAGTAAAAGAATGTTATAGGCACGCAAAATAGACCCGAATCTAATGGTCCACATTCTTATATTAGTAGCTATTATATATCTAAAGACTCTGAAACACATTCACTTTACTATCTATTTTATTCACCTTTTCTTGTCTACTTATTAAAAATATCTTAAGTTAATAACACTCACTTCTTTGTCGAAAGTCACACGCGGAAGTCATCGAGTTAACGTTATTTCAGTGTCACTTGAGCTCCTTGAACTTTCTTTAATAACATCTAATTCTCTATTGGACAGAGAAGAGTGCCGCGATTTTTGCATTCCGCTGTGTTCAACTTTTTCATCAACATTATCATGACATGTCCCATTGATATAGTCTTTTGCTTCAGAATCATCTTCAAATATTTCGTTTACTTCAACTTCCAATAAATTGTGATTATCTCTTGCTCCATAAATGTTAAAAGTTCGTTCAAGACTACGTATCCTATTCAGATTTTGTTCCAAGTTTTGTGTATTTACATTGTCAACACATTGTGAATCTTTAAACTTCCATCTTATATTTGTATTAAATTGTTCACCTTCTGGGTAAACACTAATGCTATTGCTTCGATGCCCGAATACCGGACAGTTCCGGAATTCTCACAACTCTGAATGCCTACCGTTACATATCTTGCTTAAGTTTCCTTCATCTAAACTTAAGTTTGAACGTGAACGTTCACATTCAAACTCTGGATTTGGTCGGAATAGACAAAAGTCGGAATTTTTTATTCTACATTGCCGAGGACAAGATTCTATTTGAAAGGCAGACCGATCAAATTGTCGATATTCCGTAGGTCCATACTCGTCAAGAAATCTGGGATTATGCTTACAGCTATTGTTAGGACAACCTTTCAATGATCCTGTACATCGGTGGATATCTCTATGACAAGCTTTTTGTATCGCATGCAAGGAAGTTGATGAAACTGTACGTTCCAAAATTTCTCCCCAATATTTTTCCCCGAGTCCTTCGAACTCACCCTTTGAATGTAACCCCTCAGATGTAATAGACGAACCACAACATCCAGTGGTTTTCTCGTAACCAGAAAAAGACTTTTTTCTACGACAGCAGACCTGAAAAATAAAATAAGATCTAATTAAGTTTTTATTCTTTATTCTTTATGTGCATTACACAATTCTATTCATTATAGCTACTACAATATTTATAAAATACTTACATAATACTGAACTAATTCGTTACTAATCCTCCTAAAATGACTGTTTAACAGCCAGTAAAGGAATGGGTTCCAGAAGCTGTTACTTAAAGCTAACCAAGTAACAATGAAGTCAAGCGATGTGGGCACCTGTGGGAAGAATTAGATATAAATTTGCAGTCACAACCTAAAGTTATTAGAAATGAGTAAATGTTTTATCTCACTTTGCATCCAGTGCAAGCCGCTACAACTTCTTTTATGGTAGCTGGTGTAACCATAACAATAAAACCTAAAGACATAGCAGCCATTGTACGAGACGTGCTGACACTATTATGTCGGATCAGCGGAGGAATCTGATAAAAAGAAAGTAACTCTTATTTTCGAATAATCTTTAGAAAATATTGAAACTGTATTATGTTTATACTGAAATCTCAAGGATGGCATAAACACACTGAGAACTTCTTAATACATTCTTAACATTAAAAATAGTGTAAACGAAAGCAGTGATCACTTACAACCGTTTCCATTTCTCCGTGAGTGCTTTTAGAGCACGTTGCTGGAATACCATTGGGCCTCACCGGATCTTGATCACACTTATTTCTTGTCTTACTGACATGAAATCCTGAGCCGTAGCAATACATTAATGCCATGGTTGTTGGGAAATAATACGCGCAACATGATAGGATTCTAAAACACGCAAAGGTAAGTTAAAACCGGTAAGGTTAAAAAAAGGTAAGTTATAGCTGAGTCAAATATTTCTTAAATATTTCATTCAAATTTACTTGTTGCACATTTGTTTTACACTGGGTGAAAATTTTTATTAAAATGATCAAGATCTTTGGTTAAAAACGACATTACAATCAAAATATTTAACGTATTGATAAGTTGAATTGTTACCTACAATTTTTTTTGTGACAGTGGACATTATAATTATGCTAAACACAGGCTTAAACACACACATATCAAACATGTTCAAATTGATGACTAAAGATTGAAAAAACATTGAAAATAGTGAATTAAAATACATTTAAAATGTTAACGAGCAACTTACAGAAACGGACTTTACCGTGGTTTATCGATTAAAAGAAAATCCACTTTACCTAAATGCTACTCTGCTGTGAAAAACATCACAAGCCATCAACCCAGTCGAATTAAAGTAATATCCAGATCGAGGTAAAACCATTATAGCGAACAATGATACTGATAAAATCCAGGTTATACTGATAACCAATACGCAACCCTGTAACAATGTACAAACAATTATTATCTCACGGGGAATTGTACTCCCGAAAAACCGGGGTATATTCTGTACAATTTCTTTTAAATAGAAATTTATGCGGTATATAACTAATATATAATAAACTTGAAAATTTTCTTTACAAATACTACAGCCAGATATAAGATGTTACAAAACGTTAGTCTACAAAAAATAATTTAACGACAGTAATAGATTATTTCAAATAATTCAATAAGAAATTATTGTAATGATCCCTGTTTTATTTTTCAGACTGTATGCGAGTATTTCGTGAAATTTGAACTTATATTATTATTAGGTTGTGATTTTTTTTTTGTAGATAAACGATAAACTGTTGGTGCTGCGGGATTCGAACCTGTGTACCTGTTTCCCAACTAAGTATAATATAATAAATATACTAAGATGAAGACTAGACAAAGATAGGCGGCAAATAAGCTAACCTCACGACGCGAAAATCTCGACATCTATCTACATTCTTTTTGTCGCTTGCGCTTGGCGCCATCTAGTGTGCATTGTTTACAGTATGCAACATCTTAAAAACATTTAATGAGAGAAGAGATTGCCTTTGCACTTAAAATTTTAGGATTAATCTATTTTTGGCGGTAGTCTCTGCATTCAAGTTGCTCATTACCAATGTGACAAAATCTTTCAATGATGAACATTTACAAAATTCAACGATGGACATGTGTAGTTGTAACGTACCTTTTTACTAGAGTGTTTCTGGTAAGTATTTGGGTGAAGCAAGTACAGATATCTATCTATAGCCATACAAACTAAAATTACGGCACTCTGTTGATTTACTGCACCCCTTAATAACGCCTGAAATCAAAAAGAGAAATTCTAAAAGTTAATGTATCATTTACTTGTTCCTTATTTTCTGTATTTCCTTATGTACCTTTAATGGACATCCAGTTACTTGTTATATAAAATTCAATTGAAAATTATACTTCAACATTGTTAGAAAATAAGTTACTAAGTTTATTGCAACTGCTTTGGTAGTAGATAAGGCACAAACTCAAAGAATTCTAAAGTTTAACGGTCTTTTACAATTTCTGCTTGATCACTTAATGAGCCATTAACTAACTATGGATGAAAGACGTAATCGCTAAAGTTTTACTTAACAGCCTTCACTGACGACGCCATGCCAAAGCGTTATTAATGAAAATCATATTAACGGCACAAATACCAGTATAAATTATTTGGAGGGACAAATTTCTTGTCATCATATATCTGTTCCCTTAGAAACGTTATAAAAGTATGAAATTATATTATTATTTACTAATGAAAGAAGGATAAAGTTTTAGAAGGAAAACACCTTATTTTGTTAATTTACATAAAGAAAATAATAATAATGTATCGTAACACTATTACCTTCTCCATCAAAACTGTTCAAGGAAGTAACTTTACTCATTTTCTCTCCGCCTCTTTAATAATCCTTCATAACTTTACTAACTTAAAACGGATAAACAAGGATCGCGAAGTAATATAGCAGCAGTTTACTTTGTGATATTTTTACAAGCAAACTTTACAAATTGTTAAATCACAAGGAACGAGTGTTTGAGTGAAGCATTTTAAAGGAATCGTTTTCCATTTCAATTATTCTATCTACCGATTACCTTGAAAATATACTTCTTAATATTTTACTGATCAGTTTATTTAAATATGTTATAAAAAATACTATTGGTAATTGGTATTTTAAGTGATTGGGCCACGCAACAGTCTTCGCTGTTGCACAAATAGGCAGGTTAGTTCGGGTAAGAAACCACGACCTCTCAGAGGACCGGCGAAAAGTGGAAGTGTTCTTTTGCGATTCATGTGGTAAGTGAGGTAGCCGGGGCCAACTTTATTAAAAGGTGGCAATGCATCTGCAACTGGATGTTGCAAATGTCAATGGGTGGTGGTTATCAGGTGAACCTCCAGCTCCCTTGCCACCTTCTTAATTAAAAAATAGAATGGATTTTTGAGTCGCAGTGTTCTGTCTTCACTTACCTGTATTTGACAAAATATTTCACCGTAAGGCCAGCACTTGTACAATGCTGGCAACAGTGCCACGGGTGCAATCAGAATTCCGGTGAAAAGGTCATTTAATGCCAGGGACGTCAGAAGGTACCTTGGCTGTAAGTCAAACAAATCATTAAGTATTTCATTCGATCTCTAGGCATCAATAATTAAATATGAAATAATAAAAATACCAACCTGATTATCAATATATTTGATGTAACGACGGTTATTTAAGACGCAAATGAGCACAAGATTAGCAAAAACTATTCCCATAGATAGGGTAAATATAAATAGGGCCTTTAGAATGTCTGTTGGCACTGGAAATGCTGAAGGCCAAACTTTACCATTCAGCCAACATGAGCTGTTAGAAAGGGACGGCGCTACGAGCAATGCGCCTTTGGTCGAGTCAAACATAGTCGGCGCCTGCAGATAGCAGCGCACTGTTCTTTTAAATAAGACATTTAGATCATTTGAAAAGCAGCACCTTACTTGCTTCAGACTTGTAATTTACTACTAAATCACCAAAAATTATTCCATATTATTGTGTTCTTTGTATATATGTCAACATATTTTGTAATTATTAGACACGTGTACCAAGTATAGAGTGCCCAAGAATTTTCTGAAATAATGGTGTGAATCAAATCTGAAATAGAATTAAAAATTAGATTATGTTACTTTCGTGTTTTACTGTCGTCAAAGCTTAACACCCAGCGTCAGATAAAGCTTTAATAGTCTCGGGACTGAAAGCAAAAACATCAGTTAATACAAGATACACGAAGCTTAACTAAAACAAACAATCCGTAAATTTCCATAGCGACAATTGACTTCATTTGTATTCTTGACTTGATTGACACGGAACAATTTTTTGTGTGGATCACAGATAGTTGTTTCGAATCTGGGTGTTTATCTATGTGAAGTTTATGTTTGTAAAACGTCCTTACAATACAGGATATTGTTATCCTAAAGCTAGGGCAGTGTTAAAATAAATTATTAATTTATTTATTCATTTGAACACTATTGTACTAACTGGTACAAACCGCGGGCTTAATGCCATAAGGCGTTTTCTACCAAGCAACCGGAACGTTAGTGAGAGAGAAGTGTAGGTGCTACATATGTAGGGTAAATATACATACACATTATTAATATTTATTAAGCAAAATGGAAGTCAAAACTGGTTATTTTACAAATACTCATTTAAATGTTCCGAAAATTTATATGCCCCTTTATCAAGATCATACTAAAAGCCAAGCGGCATGTGGGATTTAGGTCAGGGATATATTGTTCTATTAGTTCGCAACATGAACTTGGCAGAAATGCCAGATCCACTAAAGTGTCCATGTCCATGACGGTGCCACTACTAAACATGTTTAAAATGTGTCTTGAAACGATTTTCGAGGACATTTTTAAATTTAAGTCAATTGTAATAAACAAAACAGAAAACAATAAGTCTAGCGTATGAAATTGTCATTAAAAAAGTAACGCCAAGTTCCTGCGAAATATTTGTCGTATAATATTTTAAGTTGAAATCAGTTCTGTCCTATTTGATAGCTTCATCTAAAGGCCACAAGAAAATCTAAACAGTGTGCATATGACACTAATGTATAAAAATCTTAGAGGCTCCGAGGTCAAGAGGCTTACAAATGCACGAAGAATTGGGTCGATGCCAACAAAACGAGCTCAGACTGAAACTAGAGAGTGTCCCAAAGAATATAAATGTATAATTATCATAATCCGAAGATACGTTTCGTGATAGATGCATGTATATTCCCAAATACCCAATGCATGTATATTCACATAAAAAAGTAAAAATTCTACAATGTGAGATAAGTCACGAGGGAACTGCTACAAAATTTTGAAGTCGCCTTAGAAGAAGTTTTCACCGCCGCCCATGGGCACTCGCAACACTAAAGGAGTCCCAAATGCGCTGTCGGAAGATTAGTTAATTTTTACCATAGTCAAGCCTGATAGCGAATAGTCACGATTATATAGGAAAAGCCAAAATATCAATTAAACAGAGTAAAGGAACACAATATAGCCGACGTGAAACACCGATGATTGAAGAAGTCCATATTTTGTGATCACATTTTAGATAGCCCCAACCACTACATTATTTGCACAGTCTTCATATCCTCGCAAAAGAACATAAATTCCTTCCAAGGATGACCCCCACGGCTATTGGAAATAAAGAAACGACCTAATTTCAATAGAGAAGGTGGTTAGGGGTTATTTTTTAACTTAGGAAAGCAAGCATGTGGTAGTGTACCCATGTAATTATTAGAATATTGTCAATTAAAATAATTCTATAATCAGAATTATAATTTAATAAAGAACTTGAATGTATAATATATAAATAAAATTAATGTATAAATAATTTTAACTTTCATGATTATTAATATACTGCCTGCCATCCCACATGATGGTAAAGGGCGATGCAGCCGTTGATGGTAAGCGGGCTAGCTTAGTAGAAACCTATTCATTCTTGCCTTGAAGACGCCTACGTTGTATTCGGACTGAAAGACGGACGCCGGCAGATTCTTCCATTCAATAGCTGTACGGATTATAAATGAAGAAGCGAATCGCTTTATAATAAATTACATATTAATTTTACTTTTATACAACTACAATTCGTATACTTAATACGTTTGCGCCTGGTTTATAAAATATATTAGGTTTAAAATAGGATATTGGTAATTTCACAAAATTAAGACATGTTCTTTTTTTAGTTTACTGCGAGTTTTTGAAATGAATAATTTGTTCCAAACAAACGACATACTCGTAGTTAAGCTACTCCGTCTAAATTAAGCTGCGGTACGATTGCCAATTATACTCAAATAGCATACTGTCCAATATTTCTATAATTAACATGAACTGTTAAGTATATACAGAGTACCTTTGAGTACAGTGAGTTATAGTACACGAATAGAACATAAGACAGCAATTTGTGCACAAAAATCAGTGGTTCTACCTACTGAGGTTCAAACCCGTGTTCGCCGAATATATTACGACCACAAATATAAGAAGTAACACTGTTGACAAATATGCCCTTTTCATTATTTTTTCGCGCCAAACTTTTATTATAAATAATACTGGTGGTGGTTTTTATTGAAGTCCTTCTATTTGTCTTCATGAAGCTCTCCTTACAAAGTCAGTTTATCAATTTTGGCACCAATATCTTTGTCGTCAATCGAAAAAACACTTTGGCACACATTCATTATCTGAAATATGGCTATTATAATCATCACCATAATGTGATATATGCGTGCATACATGTTTGTGTATTACTTAGGCTTCGAGCCCGATGTCTAACATGGGAGAACTGAAAGGTCCTTCATATGTGGCAGTTATGCATATAACTACCGTTAATTGATAATATCTTGAAACGTTTTACATTTAAAGAAACTAAAATCATTAGGTTTGTTTGTATTAACAAATTGCTCAAGTCTGATTTTCTATCATATTGATGAAGTATAGCTAATGTATTTATATTCCCTTGAGGTTATTTATTATGAGTATTGTCGTCGTATACTGGGTACAAACAATTATCCGCATTGCATAGTTTTTGACAAATTTAATATGAGCTTACCATAACTTATAATATTTTTATCAAAAACTAAAGTTATAAAAAAATATACAATTACAATAACATTCCATAGCAAATAATAAAATAAAACAAGTTTGACAATGAGAACAGCTACAACGTAAATTGTTAATAGTTTAAAAGTATCATGAGAGTGATTTAATTCGCAAGAAATTCGCAAAATTATTCACTTATTACGAGTACTATACGCCACTGTGGTTCAGAACCGCAAACTTATATAATGATCAAGCGGGAAAAAGGCATCAATATGCATCCTTGCCCGGTACCTATACCCTCCGGTCTCTCGCCCTATACCCGCAATGCGCTGTTATTCTTTGCTAGGCAAAGATGTACAACTCGCATATACTAGTGATGCGTGCCGATTGCTGAAGATGGTGGGGTTAATGAATGTAAGGTCTTGCTTGTTGATCATTCAGCAATAAGCATGCCAAAGGCACTGCTGTTATTATTATTATTAGCATTTTACGATTAAAAATGATTAATGAACGAAGTTTTTGCAAATATTTTTTTTTTATTTCTGCGTAGTGAATACGAATGATAACACTACCACCATTGTATATGTATTTATACACGGAGAAATTATTAAACAACATGTTGTTAAGGCGTACGTTATTGTTCACACTCTAAACTCTACACAGTACATTCATTTTCCACGTCTGTGGTCGTTAGTTTACAGTGACTACTCGTCACATCTCTGAGGCATCTTAAAGATGAGCGTCTCAGAGATAGAGGGAAAAATAAAGCAAAATTTTATTTTACTTGCAAGGTACTAAATCTAGAACAGTTTTCACTCATTTTATAATGACTTTATATCATTAGACAAGTTACATTGACACATGGTGATACTCTTATAAAAATAATATATAAATAGAATTACTGCCTACTGTCGTTTTTTTATTATTTACTCTGTAGTGTAAATTTCATTCCTCAATGGGATTTTAGTTTAAAATTAATCTTTTTTAGGAATTAATGTAGTACCGTACAATTATCCACAATAACGTCCAGAAACATAAAAATCCTTGTATAAACAATACGGTAGTCATGATATTTAGATGTGGTATGAAGTCCTCGGTAGTAAGGATTTTTTGATGTTTGTTGGATATATCCTATGTATAAATACTATGTAGATACAGATTTCATTGGAACAGTGAAATCTGTAATCTACATAGGATTGACCGGTCACCAACCACATTACAAGCATATGGTGCAGGTGTCCTACCAAAGCGTGTCAAAAACATTAGAATGTACTAAGACCGAACTTGGAAGAAATACAAATCAATTATTTTTTAACTACAAGCATATATAATAAACATTGAATTCGTTAGAGGGGTATTAACTCGACAGTTGTTTTTATGATAAATAAAGTTTATCTTTATATAACATTATTTTTATAATAATCTTAACGATTTCATAACAAAGTTTAATTTAATTTTACAAAGCTGAGCTCGAAATAAAGAAAACAATTTCCAAACAATTTAACTTATTCCATTTACGAAGATTCATCTTATTAAGACTACTTGCTAAACGACACTCAGTAGGCTCTGCGGAAATGTGTTGACACATAATCAACATAGTGACTCTTTATTTTCGATCTTGGTTTGACTCCAAACGCATGATATAAATATATTTATAGACATGTGATACAGTTAATTTAACTGTAAAATGTCTTAACTGT